TTGTCGTTTATTTTTGACGTCAGTAGAATATTGACAAAAGTTTTGCGCACATTTGTAATGGAAACGCAGCTGACGCAGCCTAGCTAACACACCATCAGCAAATGTTCACCGCACCAACATGTCCTGAGCTGTCCTGCAGGTCTGTTTCAAGGCGACAGTGGCAATGTGTGGCATAGTTCAGGCCTAGAAGCTGAAGGGGCACATTCTGAGCTCAGCTGACAGAGGGGGGTGGCAGGGAGTGGGAGGCCGTGAAGAAGAAGACAGGAGGTGGGGGGGCTGGGTTGGGTTTCAGCCAAGTGACATGCCGTGACATGCCAGGACATGCTTTCAAGCTCAAGTATGAAGACATGGAAGGCCCAAGAACAACACTTGGACATCATATATTATCTATAAACAGACACGGACACATGCGAGGACATTCACCCGACGCCACACAAAAACACCGGAAAATCATGGAGCTGCCGCTGTGAAGTTGTTCCTCCAACATCTAATGTTATAAGTTTTTTTTTAACATTTGCGTAGAGTTCTACATGAATCTGTTTTTCAATACATAGAGATTATATAAAGTAGGTTTTGGCCTCTTTGAGCCCCACAAAAATGAGCTAAAGCTGTTCATGTTTAGGCCACCAAAAAGCTGGTTGGAGAGACTAACCCAGAAACTGGATTTCTGGACAAATATAAATAAATTTAGGTTAAAACTGATTATTTTTAGAGTGCATGTAGTCTTTGTTGCCCTGTGATGGGAATCTCCTGCCTGATGGAGCCACCAGCCTCCCTCACAGTGGAGTTCAACACACTCCACTCACATTAACATTATTTTATAGAATAATTTCACCATTTCCAGTTTTATCAAATGGAAGCGGTTCAGTAAAGTTTGATCTGGGTGTTGTTTGAGAAACGACACCCAGTCTTATCTCTTTACTAAAAAAAAAAACATCAGAGTTTTTGACACAGTTTTGTATTAAAACGAGAATAAATCTGAACACGGTGCACAGGTTTAGTCATAGCCTTTGGACTTAAAATTTATTTGGTTTTAGTGACAACTTAATCCAGAAATAGGTCAACTGAAACTTCCCCACATATCAGTCGACAAAATTTATTGTAGATTTAGTTGATTAGAATACAAAGTCAATGTGGGAATGCATTTAGGAATCCTCTTAAATCTACACACTCAACAAAAAATGAAAAATTTCTTCTCTCTCCCTGAGTTGCAACAACCAAATGACATCACTTTTGCCTTGCAGCTTATTCTTGATGCATGTTCTGGGCCAAACCTTTTATTATTATTTTTTGTCTTGAGTGGTGTCAGAGAAATATGAAGGTGTGCTGCAGTAGGAGAGAGCTATAAAGACTTCCTAGCAGTTTTTGCAACTGAGTTCTTGTGCAGCATTCAATGTCTTGGCAAGGAAGAATGTTGTTCTTGTTCTCGCAGCCTTGGCTTAAACAACACATTTCTCTGCTCTTGCAGAATATGTATCAGCATTTATATAGAGGTGAAATATTTACTCTAGAATGAATTGGATATAGCGATGGTTTGCAATAAGTTTCAAACAACTTTGTATGAACAAAAAATATATATTAAAAAAATACATAGAAAACGTGCATTTTACATGCAAAAACACAGAAAATCTTACCAAGTATTTTTGGTAAGATTTTGCAAAACAAAATGTCTTATGTCTAGCAAATGTCAAAACATAAGGCCTTTTCCCCACTTCCCAAGTTATGGTTAAAATGTGTGTTTTTTCCACTTGCATATTATTTCACCTATAGCTAGTAGTTTCTCATCAATATTAAGGAATCGGTGACTTAAACTAAACACATATACTGAAAACTTACTAGTTTTGTCTTATTTCAAGTGTACTAAGATATTTGCACTAGAAACGACCAAAAATAATTAATAGGACTGTGTTTTTCTGTGTAAACAAATTAAAGACAAATAATATTTGTATTAATCTGCAAAATACACACATTCTTCTTTAAATTAAAAAGTCTGAAGGGAATGCCAAAGCAGCATCCGTCTGAAATGCAGGGCCTGTTGACACGTAAATGCCAGGACGGCAAAATGCTAAATGTCTTTTTTTCCATATTGGCTTCCCGTTTACACCGCAACAGTGTTTTGGCCGGACGAAGACGCAAAAGTTTAACAACAAGACCCAGAAAGAAACTTTTTTAGAAACGCAATGCGAATCCATGCAAATGCAAACCACAAACATTTGGAAATGATGTCATCTTGTGCACCTGGGTTCAGTTTTCGCACAGAACAACGAACAACAATGGAGGACATCCATCTGTGTTCTGTCTGAGCTTCTTCACCTCATCAGGTTATTTGGCGCGTGAAAGTAAAATCTGGTGGTTGCGGAACATTTATGGCATTGAAGAACACTTTAAATGACCCTACTCAGTTACGAAAATATGACTCTGGATCAGAAAATTTGCAAAGTTTCACCGCCTCCTACAGGCCTGGCATGCGCACTGGATTTAGAAAAACGTTGGGGATTTTCGACATGGAGATAAAAATGATACATTTTCATTAAGAAAATATGTGCATCCACACACATATTTTCGTGGCATCACAGAGAACGCTGCAGTGAGCATGCCGGGCCTGTCGGTGGTGCTGTAGCGCTGCCACAGAACGACGCTAGAACTATGCGCCATGTTGTTTTGTGGCAGTAAGACACAGGTGGGTTACGGAAAGAAATGGAGCCACAACATCATTGTTTAAAAAAAATAATAACAAAAGAACATGCATAAAACGTAAAACTGTCCTTTTGAATTTTGTCCTTTGTAGATAATCTAATCTTATTTCTGTGCGGACGGGGCCTTTGTCTGGAAATCAGCTCCATAAAAACTCCACAGACTGGAATGGTGGTAGCTATCAGCTACTTCTCCGGTTGACCACATGACCACAGCAAGGAAGCTGTGTCTCCATCCAAAACCCTGGAAAAACTCCCCAGTGGCTTGAGATTTAATGTTACTTTGAATTTATTCAGCTCAACCACTGAAGAAGAGAAGTGTCATTGCTTACTTTTCCATCTCATAATCAAGTTTTTGAGAACAAACTTTTGTTTTGTGAAAAAGTATGACAAAAAAAAATCAAACACAAAAAAAAACTTCAGCAGCATAATAAACAAGTATCCAACTTCTCCTCCAATAGCATAAAAATCCCTGTATTCAGGTTAAAGACATAACCACAATGATGCCATTTAGGCTATGAGCTGGTCGGACTCTGATGGGGCTAAAGAGAGAGAAGGATGGGCTCCATGCAACCGTGTCCCATAACTCTCTGGACTGGGGTCAAAAGGCATTTGGCCGTAAAAGCCCGGACAGCAACCAAGACAGACCCTCTGACCAAACAGGCCCCGTTCCACTCTCTCTCTGTGCAGCCTCTAATGTCAGCTGGGGGAAGAGGCCTCGGCTGTTTAATTTTACAGCACAGTGTCATTCTGTGTCGCGGGCAGAGCCGCACAATGCACGTATTCATCCAACATGAACAGGACAGTAATGGACCATTTTTAGCACATGAAGCAAGAAAGCCCAAAATGTCTCATCACAAAATAATCGGTTCTTTCAGTCCCCAGCACTGACAGCGGTTATTATTTTTATTTTTTTGGCATTGTTATCACACCTGCTATGACTTCTTCAACCGGATGATCTCAAAGCGTGCCACAGCTTATAGCAGTAATTAGGAGCGGTGACAGCCAAGATGCCATTTTTGCTGCAGAACGTGTTCGACGAGCTCAACAAGAATATAATACTCCATTGCCAACACGAGAGGTCTGTTGCTTCACAGACAAAAGGCCCAGTGCTGCGTGGAAACCAAACAACCGAAGGCTAACGCTACAAAAAAACTGCCAGGTTGTTTCTTTAACACTTGGTTTACGCTGCGAGGGACAGGCGTTGGGTAGAGTCAAGAATGGGGCACCGAGACTCATCATTCCTACACAGAATGCCATAATAAACTACATACAATGATCAAACCAGAGTTCACTGAGTCTCTTCTACATAATGAATCAATAATAGATGATAAGATTATTATTCTTGTTATTACCAAAATACATTTTTTTATGTCAATAAAAATCTTAGACATTATGAGAAGGCTATCTTTATTTTCACATAATTCATTTTTACCTGCAAGGTGGGACGGTTGTTAGCGCTGCTGCTTTTTCTTTGAGTATTGAGTATAAAATGATGTGCTATAACAATGTTAATGTCAGTAGTTTGCAGTGTAGCAAGCTGTAGCTAGCTATCTTTAAGATTCACAGTTTCATATAAGAAACTAGCATTACCAAAATACTTTTTTTGAACAAATGTTTTAGACATTTTGATAACACATCTTTATTTATGCACCTTTCAATAGCACTCATTCCTATCGGCTAGATATGCAAACAAGTGGTAGGCACTTGTTTGCATATCTAGCAAACAAGTGCTAGATATGCACTTGTTTAAGCAATTGACAACCTTTTTTGTCTGCCTTATGTTGCCCCCAGGCAACGACGCCCTTGGCAGAACGCCATATTGCCCAAAAAAGACTCCCTCCTCTTCCCCCCCAAAAAAGACCAGTGGCAGTTACAATTGTGATGAAATTTTAATTGCAATCTGCTTCGTGAGCTGTGAAACACCCCATGTTCTGGATGTCTGAGACAGAAACTGTTTTCGTTTGACGATTTTCAAGCAGTTTTACCTTTTCCATTCATGCTCTGCAAGGATTTTTTTTTTCAGCTGTTTCAGCCATGCTGAGGGGAGCTGAATGAAACGGTCTGGGTGGTACCATTATGATTTAGGGGGCACTCGTGTTACAAAGTCCAAACGTACGCGGCTCCATCGCACAAGAAGACATCGGGATTGTTGTCTGGTGTTTCTGTTTGATGAGTATGTCATTTAATTCGGTGTAGGTGTGATTTAAGCGGCAGAGGTCGGTACTGAAACGCCACCTTTCTTACCCCCTCCCTTTGTCGGGTTGGTCTGCGCCAAGATGATGTCTGAGCAGCCCTTTAAAGCCGCTGCACTTCCGAGATGAACCGAAGAGGAGCTGCGCCACTCAGTGAGGAGGACAGACAGCCAGACAATCTCTTCTAAAGAAAGAAAGAGAGAGAGAGGGAGAAAAAAAGCTGAATCTTTTAGCCTCTTGACAGGCTATGCTGACACAACACATCTGGAATCTGGGATGTTTTCCAACTTGGAATCAAAGGAGATTTCTTTTCGTCTCGATCTATGCGGGACGCTGCGTCTGCAACGAAGCAGCACCCTAAATTAGATCTTCCATCAAAAAAAAAGTTGTTGTCTTTATTCTTTTTGAAAGCAAGCGTAAAGAAAACAAGTGCAACCGGGACTACTGCCGTAAAACAGGAATGGTTTATCCTCCCGAAGGTTTATTCTATATCGAAATGGATCAAGCACCACCAGGTAAGTCAGGGTTAAACTACAGGCAGCCATTGTCTTGGCTGCGCTGCGGCTTCCCTAAAAAAAAAAAAGCCATCCCTCTCTTCCCGTCCTTCTCCTTTTCTCTCGAAGCATCGTCTTCTGTCATATCTGTAATAGAGATGATTAAATGCTGCACATGCAGGCGGGTTTAATGACCGTCTCCCGGGTGCCGCTGCGCTCCCCCAGCGGCGTTGCCCGGGCATGCATAGCGCAATTCACTTGGCAATTACGTAATACCCTCTTCGGAGGATCGGGTGCAGGGAGCGAGCTCGCGAGCTTGCTCTCCTTTTCTTTTGTCTCGGCGCGCGCTCGCCGGGCTCGCGGTGACGGAGTCGATTCAGGAGGCTGCGGTCGGCTTTGCTTCGGCATTAGCCAGAAAAAGAAAACAAAAGGAAGGGGGAAAACTAAATAAATGTGAGGAAAAGAAGTGGACTCAGGGTGCGTTAATGAGCGACTCCATGAAACGAGTGCTTTGTCCTCCTCCGCAGCCAGCCGTGCCTAATTTGTCCGCCTGCTCCCCTGAAAGTAGGCTACAGGCGAGAAGCGCAGACTGATAGGTCTCGTGACGAACAGGTCCGCTATGTGGTTTTATTATTTGTTTTTAACCATATGACTATTAATGCGTCATTGCACTTTTATGACAGTGACAATGGCTGTGATTAAAAGTTAAATATTGTAGGCCATTACAAACATTACAAATCCACGTTTGTTGAAATTGTCCAAAGGCTCGCATCATTTTTAGCCGCAGTTAATGAGGCGGCTTTTGATGTGCGCGACATGTCTCACCACCCAGGGTGGTGTGGACCCAGGGGGCGGCAGAAGAACACAAGATCAACAAAAAGAAATAGATAATAATGATGTGTTTTTTTTTTTGGTTTTTTTTTTGGGTATGTTTTATTTGTGCCTTCCTGTTCAGTGAAATGCACATAGAAAATTCAACATTCCAAGTCACGCCAGTTCAAATTCGGTGCAAAGTCAAAGTTGGAACAGATAGATTTGTAAAACTTGTGGATAAAATAAATAAATAAATTCTTGAATTTCATATGCACATGCTATCCTACATTAACCCAATCATTACTTTTTCCAGTTCATCATTTTGACATTATATATATTTATATTTTAATTTTACTGATTATGTATGTAAAGGCGCCTGCATATATTTGTGTGGAGGAAGGGGAATAGGTTGGGACGTGAGGAAAACTACCAGGGAAGGAAAAAAAAAAAGCTTAGTATGGGTCATACTTAATACTTAATTATGAGACATTGCATTGCCCTCTGTGATCCATTAGCGGGGATGTTGATTTTGGCAGTCGGGGGCTTAGCGTTCTGGCAAGGGATCAGAAAAGAGACAAAGACGGACGAGGTGGTTGCGCAGAAGGAAATTTTTCAGACTTCCAGAGTCTCACCGCATTCGTGCCTCCTGCACCTGCCTTTTGCTTATTTTAAGGTCAGAAAAAGAGGTGAGCGGATGCTGCGCGACCGCCACATTTTCTCCCCCCTCCCCCCCCCCCCCCCGCCCCCTGAAGGGCCCTTTTTTCCGGCCCGGAAATATACCGCCCTTCAACTCCTCTTGATGCGGTTCGCCCTACTTTTTATACGTGTAATGTGTTTATTTTAAAGAAATGCTGACTCTTAGAATTTTTTTCCCTCT